TTTGGTCTTGTGCGAAAAAGAGTTAGAGTGAATAATTGAAGATAGAAACACATTTGCCAAATCAATTCTGCCATAGTCATCATCACACTCACAAGACTCTATCATAGACCATTTCAATGTGGACATGTCATTGGCCTATGAACATATGAACTGCTTGTTGTCAAACTATTTCATAACTGTAAAAAGAATTCAATAATAACTTAATGTTAAAACCGTTATTATAACATTATTTATCAGTATGAGGCTCTTTTTTGGATTCTCGGAAGCTATAGAAGTAAAAAAAATATATATGTAAAACAGGAATACATTGGGACCATTGGTTTTGTTAACATCCCTCATAATGGTCTATACTTGCCTTGTCAAGTGTTGGTTGCTTGGTTACCAATACTACAGTCAGCTGCTCTAATAACTTAATGGAAACACAGCCATACACTGAATTTGGCCAAATAATCAGAGCCAACCTTCTTACTTCAATCCACCATCACATTGTGGTCAGGGAGATGCATTGTCCAGTAAATTTTATACATGTCGGAATGATGGAGGCATTGCATTTGGTTCAGTTTAGTGACCTCTGACCAGAGAATGTGAAGATATTTGATTAATAGAAAATCTTTTATATTTTGCAAGTATTATTTGTTTATTTTGCAGTGTTCCTAGATTAAAGTCAAAAGCACATTTGTTTTCAACATGTTTTTTTTCCCTTATCAAAAATTCCTTTTCCTTTCTAGTTTCTAGTAATACTCTTTGTTTCTAGTTTTTTTTTTACAGAATGTTAAAAATCACAAATGTGTTCTGCTTTTATAATTAATACTTGAAGACAAGTGAACCATATTAGACTGATTACCATACATTTAACACGAATACCTAATATATAATCAATCACATTGATAAATATCAATTGTGATTTACCTTTTATTTAAAAGTCAGTGAAATTATCAAACTACTGATTTGACCTTTTCAATCAAGTGTCTCCAAGGGCTTCTAATAATGTTTTTTTCCCCTGTATGTTGTTTTGATCAATCGTTCATTTTACTTTTCACATTATACATTTAAATAATTAGATTTTGCTTGATTTGAATAAATTAATATGTAGGCCACCTGCGTGCTGACTCTTGCGTGCACTTGAATACATGATGCTGGAAAGAATAAATGAACTGACCTGATTACATTGTCACCTATTTTTCCAGGTCGTGAATTATTAAACAAATGCAAATCTGTCATTCAGAACAACACTTGATAACACTCTTTCTATTAATTGGTGTTGACACGTGTAAGGTCACATCCCAGTTTAAATGGTGTCAAGAGAGAAAATTGGGGGCAAAACCACCAACATCTAAACAAAAGACATCCATTCTCTCTGTCTGCTTTTTTTTCTTTTTTTGTTTTGTCAGTGTTGCCTGTTTTAGATCACACTGTTGGCTTGTTCGCATGTGCCCATTGCTTTGTTCATTAGTGACATTGCCGGCTACTCTATCCACTGTGTAAATTATTAAGTGCATTCTGCTATCAGAGTTTATTGTTTATTGTCTGTTGGGCCATGGTCACTTGTTGAGACGGTGTAGATGGAGTCAAGATATTTGTGGGTTTGGTGTTCAGAATGTGTGTCACTCTCTGGTGACACGGAGTGATCAGCCGCTGCTTGCTGGATATCAACTGTATTTAGGAGGACGCTAGTTTGTAAGTAAGATGTTTTTATACCTGTTGTGTTTGTAGAACTGATGCAGTTTGTTATTTTCAGTCAAATTTCGATTATGGCTGTATTTGAGAACAACATGTCTTTGAAGTATTTGTATTGTTTTACAATACTGTTGGTAGTCTTTATGACATTTAGTTTCAAAACAGACTTCATTCGAAGGATTTGCTTTTAATGTGAACCAAACTTTGATGCTTTTTTCTGATTTAAAGTGTTGTTGGTTACATGTAGTCTCTCTGTACTAGATAATAATGGTACATTTTAAGGCTTTTAAACTCTCATTGCTGAACACATGATGGCAACACTTTATTTTGATGGTCCATTTGAGTATTAGTAGACTGTCTGCTTAATATCTGTTGATACTGTTCCTTCAACAGACATAACTAAGAAACTTTGCAAGTACATCAACTTACATTAACCCCAACCTAACAGTCTACTTATAATCTAACGAGAATTAGTTCCCATGTAGATGTAATGTAACTTAAATTCAACAAACGAACCATCAAAATAAAGTGTGACCTATAATTGTTTTACATGTGTATATTAGACCACTTGAAAAAAAAAATGTCTCTCTCAATTTACAAGATATAGTTATATGTTTGAGTAAGGCAACAAGGTGGCGCAGTAGGTATTGCTGTCACCTCACAGCAAGAGGGTAGCTGGTTCAAGCCTCAGCTGGGTCAGTTGGCGTTTCTGTGTGGAGTTTGCATGTTCTCTTTGCGTTTGCATGGGTTTCCTCCGGGTGCTCCGGTTTTCCCCACAGTCCAAAGACATGCGGTACAGGAGAATTGGGTAGGCTAAATTATCCGTAGTGTATGAGTGTGTATAGATGTTTCCCAGAGATGGGTTGCAGCTGATAGGGCATCCGCTGTGTAAAGCATATGCTGGATAAGTTGGCGGTTCATTCCACTGTGGCGACACCGGATTAATAAACGAACTAAGCTGAAAAGAAAATGAATTAATAAATGAATGTTTGAATAAAATTATTTTATTTGTTTTATTCTGTAAGCTGCTTATTTTATTTCTTCCAATTTTAATTTTGAAAAAAAAAATACATTGTCATTCAGAGAGCATTTTGCATTAAAAAGTGCTTTTTTCATTTAATGGTGATTTTTATTTTATTTTATTCTTTTCAAACAATTTAAGAAAACGTGTAATAACCCTGTTTTATCACAATGTTTAATCACAACCAATGAAAACAATGCAATTCTGACCAGTTTCTAAAACAAATTGGTCTAAATAATAATATGGTCTAAATATTATGTGAAATTTAGACAGAATTTTATTTATAATTTATATTATAAAATAGGGCTGCGCAATATTGGAAAAAAATTATGAATATAATTTTACCAGGTAAATTGAATAGCTGTATTTGGAATGAATTCATTCATATACATGGATTAAAATGATCGAGTCTTTTTTTATGCAGTGCATTTGGATAAATTGTAATATATTACAAGCATATATAAATACAACAGAGCAAAGATAAAACTGAAATAAACAGTGCTTTATGGTCTTACAATATCCAGGTACAGAAATTGAACGATCAAACATGACATGGGCATCATTGAATAGATTATTAAAAAAATTATAATTTCTTTATCTTTTTACCATATAAACTAAGAATTTTCTCAATGGGCTCTTATTATAAATACAGTTGAAGTCAGAATTGTTAGCCCCCCTTTGATTTTTATTTACTTTTTTCTTTTTAAAATATTTCTCAAATGATGTTAAACAGAGCAAGTAAATTTTCACAGTATAATATATATATATATATATATATATATATATATATATATATATATATATATATATATATATATATATATATATATATATATATATATATATATATATATATTACTGGAGAAAGTTTTATTTTGGCTAGAATAAAAGCAGTTTCTAATTTTTTTTTTTAACTATTTTAAGTTCAAAATTATTAGCCCCTTTAACCTGTATGGTACCACAGGGTAATCTTTAGGTTTACATAAATGTTATAAATTTCTGGTCATTACAATAAATTAAGTCTTTAAGTCTTATTTTATGACACTTATTAAATGCCATTTTAGGAACCAAAAGTCATTTAAAGCCACACCAAAATATACTCATAATCATGCGTAGACTGCAGGAAAAACTGTTATTGTGATATTAGTGTTTATAAACATTAATTTTCAAAGCTATAAAACTATTCGGTTTTTTTTTTCAAGCCAATTGTTAAAATTACAAAGATTTAGAGACAAACTAATTAGTCTCAATTGTGAGTCTTACTAAGTCTTAGTAAAATAAACTAAAAGAAATGTGCTATAACACGATCACAAAAAAAAGAAAACTTTTGCAAATAACTTTAATGGGTTGAATTTCAATCAATTAAATTTAATCATGTTCAACTTAATTTGTTATTTTAAATTCAACCCAAATAAATTTTCAAACTCTCACTTAAAAAAGAAAAAGTTAAATCCAATGAATGATCTTTGAATCCTTTAGGTGTAATAATTTTTGACAAAATATTAATTTTACAGGCAGGATAATTTATTTGTATTAATAAAACAGCTAGCAAACAGTAGAAAGAATACAATCTTCAAATCTTTTTCTCAACCTACACTTTAACCTATAGGATTTGCTGCTTTAGACTTTATGGACTGTTTTCACTCAATCCTCTAAATTCAAGAGCTGTCAAACATGCTCATCAGGCATTTTAACTGAAGGTGTAAATGTGACTTAACATAAAATGTATCGCTTGCATGTCAACACAAGTGTGTGGTCTTGAATTCCACTAGAAAGCAGAGATATATGGGGAGCGTTTAACCTTAGCAGACCTTATACAAACTCTGTAGGCCTACATATTTGTAGTGTTCCGGTTCTTTTCCCCTTTTTTTCTTCCCCCCCCCTCCTCCCAATAATTTCATTTCACATGCTAGAACAGAACATTGAGAAATATTCCCCAGTCTCTTTTCTGTGTTATCCCACTAACATAATATTATAATACTCTGGTTCTAGTTTTTATATCCGAGTGATATTTTTGTTCTGCAATCAGTGATAAAGGACATTATCTAAATTGCTGTAAAGAGATGGTTTACCCAAAAATGAAATGATTTGCTCTCCTTGCACTTGACACAACCGGTTTGTATTTGTTTCTTCTGTTAAACACAAAAGAAGATATTCTGAAATGCGTTGACTTCCATAGTATCTGTTTGTCCTGCTATATAAGTAAAGGGTTACAGGTTTTCAACCGCCTTCAAAACATATTCTGTGTTTAACAGAAGAAAGAAACTCATAAATGTTTACAACCACTTGAGGGTTGTGAGAAATTTTCTTTTTTTTGGGTGAACTATCCCAAAAAAGTCCCACTCTCTCTATCAGTCTTTGTGTGGCCCATGAGGAAGAAAAGAGGATAGGAGGACCATGTTGCTCCAGCATCCACTCCCTAAGCCATAGAATATGATAGTTGATAGAAACCAAATGTGCCATGGTGTCCACTGGCTTTGATTAAACCTTCACGCAGACACAGATGCATCCTGACTGTGAGTGAGGAACTGAACTGCCGCTCAAAGGTCACCAAGGAACGAGATTCGCTAATGTAGTTTTGCCCCAAATACCCACATTTTATCCCTCCCAAAGTTTATCTATTTACCAATTGTACAAGTTCTGGGAAATGTACTCCTGCCTTTGCCCAAGCCGTGTCACAGTGCATTTCGTGCTGTTTGGACATCAAAGTGCCGTGCAAAAGGAAATTGGGAGGACCACCTCACAGAGACAAAGCAAAATAGCATGCTGCGGCATATCAGTGTTCCCTTTGATGCTCTGTGTGTGTGTGTGTGTTTCACAGAGAGCCCTTTGAGAGTCACATTTGATATGCATTCTGCATGGAGTCCATTAGGATATTACAGTTTCATCAGCAGTGATCTAAATGTTTCCATATACTCTGCATTTTCCCTCTGGTAAAGTGGGATCTAGACGTTGGGCTCAGGTACAACTATTTTGCCCCCCAGCTAGGGCCCCTCTTACAGTAATGCTCACATATCGCCTGCACGGACCACAGCGCTGCTCAAAAGAAAGACCGCAAATGGCTGTTTTTCATGTGTATGATTGTGATATTATGCTGTGTAGAAGATCAAATGGCAGTAATTGGGGATTTATTCCACTGCCTTACGGGTCTACTAGAAATAATTTGTTTTGATGGCACACTACCTGAATTGGTAAATATTGTATGATGATATAAGCTCTTTGTTTTGCAGCTCTGTCCAGCTGCTCAGCCTCTGGAGGAAAGCTGTCCAATAGAAGAAGAGCTTAGAGAGAAACCAGCGGTGTTACGGCAAACCAGCTCTGATTATTACAGACAGATCACTAATACAGACATGGACAGACTCAAGGTGAGTCTTGTTAGTTTCTGAAAAATAATACTGTATCAGTGGCAAATCCTATTATTTGTTCTTTTTCAAAATTTAGTGAGTTGTTTGATTTCAGCAAAGGTCATTTTGTTCACCTTTGAAATCTTATCACCTCCAAAATGTATATACAGTGCATCTGGAAAGTATTCATAGCGCTTCACTTTTTGCACATTTTTTATGTTATAGCCATATTCCAAAATTGATTAAATTCATGTATTTCCTCAAAATTCTACACACAATACCCCATAATGACCATGTGAAATAACAAATCACATGTACAAAAGTATTCACAGCCTTTGCTCAAAACTTTGTTGATGCACCTTTGGCAGCAATTACAGCCTCGAGTTTTTTTGAATATGATACCACAAGCTTGGCACACCTGTCTATGGGAATTTTTGCCCATTCCTCTTTGCAGTACAGGCTCTGTCAGGTTGGATGGGAAGCGACAGTGTACAGCCATTTTTAGATCTCTCCAGAAATGTTCAATAGGATTTGGGTCTGGGCTCTGGCTGGACTCAAGGACATTCACAGAGTTGTTGTGAACCCACTCCATTGATATTTTGGCGGTGTGCTTTGGGTCATTGTAATGCTGGAAGATGAGCCCGTTGCCCTAGTCTGAGATCAAGAGCACTATGAAGCAGGTTTACATTCAGGATGTCTCTGTACATTGCTGGATTCATCTTTCCCTTATCTTGACTAGTCTTTCAGTTCCTGCTGTATGTGAGTGACTCACTTGCATTTTTGACATTAGGATACTTAGCTAACTTTGAAGTACCCTAATAAGAATAAAAATAAACAGTCTACTGAAATATAAAGTAACATTTATAATCCGTTTCAAAAACACTAAACTTTTTTTAGTTAATTCAGTTTGGCCAAAGTCCCTTTAAGGCATTAGTAGGCAGGGCTTTAGTCACCATATTGACCTCAAAAAGATATGAGTGATGTGTCTTGTGTATTGTGTAGTCTTTGGTTTGGCTTATCTTTATCCACATCTTGGTTTTATTTTTTTTAACTGAGCTCTTTGCTGTGTATTTTGCTATAGAAGAAAACCCCCTCATGTTTTGCAAAGTATCTGCTTTATGTTGTTATATTAGAATTCTTATGTTAGGAATTAGGTATCGAAATTCATGAGGATTAGGTGCGGTTCAAACGGGTTACTTAGCTACCAGTGCCATAATGGCACAGGCTTTCGGTACCCAACCCTACTTTTAAACAATAAAAGTACAATGCATGAATTGATTTATTCCAATGCAAATATGTTATGCATTGCAATTTAAACAACAACTTGTATTCAATGCACACATTGTATACTGATGCTTCAGATGAATCTGGGAATATTCCCATCCCTAATACTTACCAATGAACAAAGTGTGTTGTGCTTTAAAATGTGACTCAAGTTATGCCTTAAAATGTTTCATCAATTGGGTTCCATTAGGTCTTGGAACAGGACAATTAAGTGCATATTTTGTTCCTTTGAAAGTGTACTATAGCGTATTAGGACTATTAGGGTATTTACTGTTATATCTGCTGACATTCAGTTCACTTTCATTTTAACCCCACCAGCACCCTGAGACTGAAGATTCTCCTCAAGCTCGCTACCCCCCTGCATCTCTTTCACCTTCTCCACCCAAATCCACCACTACACCCTCAGTCACCGATCCATCTTCTACCTCACATGGGAAGACTTTCCAGAATGTTCACTTGGCCACTACGGGTAAGAGAGCCCTGATGCGTCTGTTTCATACCCCTGTGCTGTTGTATGGTTCTGCAGTCATGACTGAAATTTGTGGGCACTGCTGTCTCTATTGACTCATCCTTTTTAATTTCACTTGATGACTTAATTCCAATTCAATGAGTAATGGTAATCAGTCTGTGTGAATATGATCAGAACATAACTGAAAACAGATGAGAGTAAGAAAATGATGTTCTTGTTCTCATTGTCATTGCAGTGGTGAAGAACCTTAGCTCCAGTACCCCTGCAAGTAAACCAGTACGAGAGAAAGGGAAACTGCTGATGGGAGAAATGAAACTTGGAGATGTTAAATCTATTGCCAGCCTTACGAAATCTGGATTGACAGCTGATTTGGCATTTTCAGTTAGTAAATTTGCATTGGACACGCAATTGACTTCCATTATTTATTTATTTCTTTCAATGTGTTGTATTCAGGAGATTCAAAGATTTTATATACAGTCCTTAATTTTAGCCAGTGCAGTTTAAATTAAGCTTAAATGCTGCACCATAAACTGGGAATAATAGTTAAGGTTTAATGCATAAATTTGTACCTTACTATTTGTTTATTAGATATTTTGGCCATTCAGACTTTTCAGTGATATAGGAAGTCACCATCTTCCATGTTTACCTTGGTCACTGTTGGTCTCTACCTTGGTCACTGTTACAATTGTTAATTGCTCAACACAATCTTGCATCCAAATGTATATGTATAAAAAGAAACCAGAATACAATTCCCTTAAAAACTTCAACAATATACTTAACCCTTTTCTAGCCAAGCATTTCTGTGATGGTTTTGTTTTAAGTGTACTTGACAGACTAACTGAAGTATATAATTTGTCATGCTATTTTGTTTTAGAATAAAATGGTGGTCTTACCGACAGAGGAGGCTAATTTGTCTGACATTGATTACCTGGTGCCCATGCATGATGAAAAGGGCAGACCTATAGCAGAATGGAAGAGACAGGTGATGGTACGACAGCTACAGGCCAGATTATTTGACCAGGAAAGCCAAAGAATTAAGGTGAGCAACAAATATTGCACCAGTAATCTTCTAAGTACATAGCTCGGTAAATCTGAGATTTTGTTCTGACTGCAACTTTATCAACTCTTGTTTTTAACTTAATTGATATTCAACAGGAGAATGGTAATAGACATGCAAAGATGGACAGTTGGAGGTTCTCCCAGGCTCACAATGCCATCCTTGGTCCATTTGGAGAACTTCTAACAGAGGATGACCTCATCTATCTAGAGAGGCAAATTGAGAGTGTCTCCATGCAGAAGCACTGTGAGGGCTATGAAATGGAACTTGCTCGTCTAGCTGAAGAACTACGCAACATTCTCCCAGCACCCATTGTCAACATCACAGTCAACACCCAATACAAGAACGCTACGCAGACTCCTTTACCTGTTTGGTGCAACCGTATTTCAGGCATTGTGAAGAGTATGTCACTACTTATGACAAACCTTACAGATCAGCCTTACTGCAAAATGCCAAACACGGAGCTTGTGAATGTCTTCTCTCAGGCCTCAGAGAGGCAAGCAACCAACAGAGGAAGGAGGGAGAAGATAGAAAATGAGATTCACCAATTTGGGGTCTCTGTGAGAAACCTGAAGTCCAACTTTGAGAATCAAAATGATTCTTCATTGGAGGATTTAATGAGGGTTGGATCATTGGTTCAACAAGTCCAACAACCAGTTAAGAATGGTTTTGATGAGGACTCTCAAAAACAAGATCAAAGAACGGAGGCTGATCTTGATGAAGATGATACATCTTTCGACTATGTCATCAGTGATGCCATGGAAAGTACAACCCTGAGAAAAGAACGTATTGTGGTGTTGTTCTTGGGTCACTGGAAGAAGTCTGCTTATACTGTAACCGTAAGAAATGCTCAGAGGAAACAAAGTGTTGATTCACTGGAAATAAAGAAGCCCAAGTGTGAGCGTAAAACTAGCTTGGATATCTCTCAGAAGAGGACCATGGAGAATGGTAAACTGGGGCACTTTTTCAAGCAGAGAAGTGCCATCAATAAGATGATTGGGAACTGGAGAAGCATGATCTCATTTGTCCCATCAAGGCAGATCCGAAGACTCAACCGACAACAGGCAATTTACTCACCTGAGCAGTTCCTGCCTCGTGTGGATGGATCTCCCATCGACTACGACACCCTGACACTCGATCTCTTCATGCTTGGCTACTTTCACATACTGGAGCTGGATTTGCCACCGGATGAGAGAAAAATGAGACACCTCTTGTGCTTTGAAGTGTTCGATCATGTGGGCCGTTTTACCTGGGAGACTGTCCGGGATTTTCACAAGGCTGTAATTCAGGACATTGAGGCTGGAAACCGGGAATGGAAGGATGGATTTGAGGACATTAAAGTAAAGTTCTTCGGAGATGGATCAGGCCAACCAGAGCTTGAACATTCAGAACAGACCACAGTAGTAGAAACTAGGCGTGTGCCTAAAGTCATCGTACAGACGCCCACTCCAGATGAGAGTGATGTGCTCAGAAGTAATGCAGATATTAGTTGTTTGACTAATGAGGAGATATGCAAATATATTGATCGTAGTTTTGCGTTCTGGAAGGAAAAGGAGGCTGAGATATTTGATTTTGAAGAATGACAGTAAGCCTGTTTGGGTGGTGTGGGGGTGTACATAAAGATTTCTTATCTTTAAGAATATATTTTGGGGGGATTTGATTTAGAATTGACTGGTAGCAATATTTATACAGCTGTGGCATTTAAAGGTGCTGTTTGTGAGTTTTTGCCTAAAAACTAAATCATAATAATACGATAATAGTTTGCAGATATTTAAGGAACATGCTAAGTGAACATTCTTGTTTATCTAAAAAACAATACTATTGTCAGAATGTTTGTCTTTGTTTTGGGCTGTGTAACTCCACCCACTACAAGTTTACCCAATGATAATTTAGCACCCAAGGTTGCATTGGTGGAACCCACATAGTATTACATTTCGGTCATGAAGGCTGCCTCAATAATTGCAGGCGCAGCCAAAAATATGACTTCTAGAGGGCAGTAGCTACCTCCAAAATGAGATACAGATTCAGAGTTATAAAAATCCGTATGGGATGGTTTTTATGTAGTCAAAAATTATAATATTACAAACGTAAACAACTGATCAGCAGTCTGTAAGGTTCAATCTTCAGACACGCTTGTGCTGTCAATCTGGCAACTTGTCTGACTCATGTCTGAGGAGGAGGGGCCAGGTGAAATGTATCCCTATCCAATATTTTGAATTTGGATTGCAAAACCTAGTTCAACCTCTAGTTGTAAATCCTACATGCTGCACCTTTAAGGCATCATTTTGCCATTTATTCTCCAATTTTCCAGGAGTGCAAAATGGAAGACTGCCATAAATTGATATTTGTTACTCTTTTCTGATTATTTATTATCAGTATGCGATGATTTAAATAACTTCAGTTCAGTTTTTGTTACTTACTAAGAATTTGACATTTACTTACAGAGGCTGATATGTTTTGATTTGCACCAGTATTGGAGGCTGCTTATTTAAACGATTGAATAAAATAAATGATCATATGATTGCTTACTGTTGCAGATAGAGTCGTGTGTATCTCTTTAAGAGCAGGTGGGAGCTTAACTGAACTATTTTAAATCCGAGTATTTCCCCCCTCCTTGAACGACTGGCCTAAAAATAGCAGTGTGAAAGACAAGCATGCTGTCTCAGTGACTGTGCAGATGACGACGTGTCCCCCATATGAAACGGCAACAACAAAATAGACTGACTTCTAAACAAGCACTGTGAATAATGTACGATTTCTTCTTTCATTCAAGAGCTGGTAAGTTTAATTCAGACATTATCTTGTCTTTTTAAATATTATTTAAAAACAGAAACTTTAAAGTGACACATTTGTACACTTTTGAAAATTAATGTTTTCAAAAGTGTTACCTAAATACAGTAGTCCATATTTGAAGTGGATCATTATCTTTTATAAGAGTTTTCCTAAAGCTATTGAACAACACTCATTTTTGTCCTAGGACAATTTTGAAAACATTTTTTAAATCACTTCAAATGTTGACTACTGTATATTGAGCACTAAAAGCTATTTTTTATCAATATACAAGACATTTATTTAAGTTTTGTTTTTGCTTAAAGCAAGATCACAGAATTTTGTACTAAAATACCCAATTACATTATATTTCAATACTGTTAGAATTATCATCATGACTATATTTTTGTTCTATTTTGTTCTTGTTTAACATCGTCTGTTGCTTTGCCAATTAGATTTTTGTGCAAACTTTCACACAGGCAAGGAAATGAGTGGTAGTAGTAAGTTTAATTCTCAGAATCACACTGTCCCAGTGTGCCTATCAGATATATTGTCTTTGGCAAGAACCTGTTTTAACTCTGGCAATAATCGTCTAATAATTTGACTTGTATTGATGTGCTAACATGACTTCATTCTCTTCCGATTTGTTTCTGAAATCTTCTGTTACCAAGCAGAAAGACTTGAAAATTTGTCCTTGGGTCATAGGAGGCTCCAAACTGCTGTGATCATGAATGTCGCAATCAGATTGCATGTGACTGATTATACCCATTTGTCTTGTCCTATGTAGATAAACACTGAAAACATCTGTTGCTCGGACCTGAATCCATTAAGTCCAAAGGTCAAAGTGTCGTCATGGTGTGTAATGTAGACGACCTAGACTTCTGCCTCTCTTCACATCCAGTGAGCATCTTAGAGGGCCTGCGCTCTCTCTGTTCCCAACCCAAATTTGTGGATGTCACCTTAAGTGCCGGCGGACGAGATTTCCCATGTCACAGAGGAATTCTCGCACTCTGCAGCCATTATTTCCATTCCATGTTCTCAGGAGATTTCATTGAGAGCATTGCTGCTCGTGTAGAGCTTCACGATGTAGATCCGGATGTGTTGTCATCCCTGCTGGACTTTGCTTATACAGGGAAACTAACCATCAACAAAAACAATGTGGAGGGACTCATTTGCACATCCAGCCAACTCCAGTTTCACACCGTCCGCAGTGTGTGCTGTCGCTATTTGCAGCACCAGATTGATGCCACAAATTGCTTGGGAATTCTTGAGTTTGGAGAGATCCATGGCTGCCCTGAAGTGGTTGCCAAAGCGTGGAGCTTCCTTCTGGAAAACTTTGAAGCAGTGAAACAGCATGAGGAGTTTTTGCAGCTGGAGAAAGACAGACTGGTGGCCTGCCTGAAGGACGAAGATCTGCACCTAAGAGACGACCGCTCATGTGCCGAGGCAGTTGTGTCATGGGTCAGGCATAGTAAAGACAGTCGGATCTGTGATTTGCGAGAATTGTTGAGTTTGGCTAAGCTTTCCCTCCTTTCAGAATCCTACCTCACAGAGAACTTGCTTAAGGAGCCATTGGTGCAGAACTCACTAGAATCCAGAGAGCTGGTCGAGAGGATATGTAGAGAGGTTGAAACTTATCTGTTTATATACTGTAGACAATTTTTCAAACTAGAAAAATGTATTTGTTTTATAACGTGATATTTTTTCCTCTTCTTCAGAAGCGACAATTGACGGGAGATGGAAAGACTGAGCAGAGAGCCACTCAGGATGCTTTCAACCAACAAGAGGTTTTATTTGTGATGGGTGGTCGCTCGCTGGATGATTCAGATGATGAAGACGAGGATGAAGATGAGAACAGAGATGGAAGGTTGCATCCTAGAAATTGTGGTTTCTATAACCCAAAACTTGGTAAGGACAAGTTCAACTGACGATTGTAATGTTAAACACTTAATCAGGGTTTTCTCCAGCTGCGGCACAGATCTTTCAACTACCTATGGTGTTATTTTAATGACAAATGTTGTGACGCAGTATTACAAGTCAAGATCACATTTATGTATTTCGAGGATGCGAATCTCTTTGCTTGAGCGCCAATTTCATCTGTTCATGCACAAAAGTTCTTGCACTCCCTCTCAAATATGCTCAGGCACAAATTTTCTTGTGTGCTCACAAATAAACGCTGCTGATTTATGATTTAGTGCGTTTATCTAACGAGTATGTCTCTAACATTTATTAGATTTGCATTTATGAATGTGTCCAATAGACCTACAAAGCGGCATTAATGAGTGCAGAAGAAAAGTGAGACGGTTTTAAGTTCAGCAAGATAAAGTAATTGTGTGCAGAACCATAGACCTTGATCTATAAAGTATAATTATGGAAACTGTTCATCATTACTGAAAGCTACGTCGTGTTTGTTGCCCTCACGCATCGCGCAGCCCTGTCAGTCAAACCCTGTTTACACTAATGCGTTTTCGTTTTAAAACGCATAAGTTTTGCTATGGTTACGCCATCCGTGCACAATAACACCAGAGTTTTTGAGCGCCAAAAACGGAGCGTTTTGGAAACGCTGAAGAGGCTGTTTTCATTCTAAAACACTGCTGCTCTGTCTCAGTGTGGATGGAGAAAAACGGAGACATCTGAAAACAGGCGGGGCTGCAGACAATCGCCTACCTGATTGGGGCTTTTCCTCAATATTAAGTAGCCTACACACGGTTCAGTCTCGCATCCTCTCCTTGTTAGTTGAGACTTCGCAAGTTTGATATGGAAAACAAACTCACGAGGACATGTCCGGTAAATCTTCAAAGGGAACAGTGTACTTTATAACCTCATTCACAACACCACAAAACAACACAAAACATTGTTTAACTTTCTCAACAATAAAATGAAAACATGATTTAAGTAACTGCCTCTTTTTATTTGATATTAACAACTTAACAGACAGAAGAAATGTTGAGGCGTCGTGCTGCATATATGAGCGTCATCTTCACTGTGTGGATATTTATAACAAGAAGGAGCCTATAACATCACTGTCTCCTTTCATTTTTATTGAAAATACGAAACATGCCCTCTTTTGCTGAATATCAGTTTCAATAATGAATAATGGCCATTATTAAAAGTAAAATGAACAATAAGTTTAAAGCAAATAAAGGCAAGCAATGAGTCAATATACAGAATGTACGTGGTTACATTATTTGCGCTTAGCCGAAACACGTTACCTGAGAACAAGTAATAGATTGAAAAGACCAAAGTCGAGGAATATGCCATTAGACAAAGACAACAAGATGAATGAAATATCACAATTAACAAATATAGTGGGATTAGATCCAGCGGGAGATCCTTGATGAGCAGTCCGACGAGCTCAGGTCTCATCTGGCTAGATATGCTGCAGCGCATGCCAGAGTGTGTGTGTGTGGTCACGTGATGTGTGTTTCAGTCGTTTTGTTGTACACGAAGAGCTGTTCAGAAACACTGGGTGAAACGCTAGTGTGGACGCGGATCGTTTTCATTCTAAAACGGCGTTTTAAAACTAAAACGCACTAGTGTAAACGAGGCCTCAGTCAGTCAGCATGTCACCTTAAAGCACAGGCAGGGGTGTTGCTAGGGTCGAAAGGGATAAGGGGCTTAGCCCCAAAGAAGTCCCCCCCCCCTCAAAAAAAAAGAAGTTTTATTCACTAATTCACCTCACTAATATACCTAATCTACTCTAATCTTAGTAACAGGATTAAAAATGGTAAAATGGTTAATAATAAATAAAGGGTTTTTGTGATTTGTAATAGGAATAATAGGAAAAAAAAAAAAGATAAATTAACCCACTTCTCATTTACTAGTCTGTTGTGAGCCATATCAAACCTCTTGAGCCTCCTATCTCCTCCTGATTTGCAGTTTCTGTTAGTTTTTTGAAAATGTAATTTTCTGCATGTCTTCAAATCGGAAAATATGATTTATTTTATAGTGTGAGTTGTTATCCAATGTGATACAAAGCTACAAACATGTTAAGTTGAACAGAGTGATTAACTGAGGTGTTGTCAAGATACTGGAATTTCTAAATTCAATACCTTGCAAAATATTGATATTCAATAGGCTATTATTTTTTATATAATAACAATTCTATCAAAAATAGTAGGTTACAAAAAATAAAAATAAAGATCTCCATGCTAGAAATGTTTACTTTTCTTCAGAGGGAATTTTTTTCAGTTTTTCTCAAAATAGGGTGATGTGGGCATTGTAGCACTTTAAATGCATGTAATGCCTGTTTTATTCATACTTGAGCAGAAATTCATACTTGAGCATATATTCCATATATGCCTCACAAAAGTAGTAGAACATTCTAGGAAATCCCTATGGCTGAAGGCATCCAGCTATTGCTGTAGTAGAATGAAAATAAGATCTGAATAAACATAAAAAAACTTTAACTGATCATTTACACGACTGCGATAATAAATGTTTTATACAGTTGAAGTCAGAATTATTAGCCCTCCTTTGAATTTTATTTTCTTTTTAAAATATTTTCCAAATGATGTTTAACAGAGCAAGGAAATTTTCACAGTAGCCTGTCTGATAATATTTTCCTTCTGGAGAAAGTCTTATTTGTTTTATTTCAGCTAGAATAAAAGCAGTTTTACTTTAAAAAACACATTTTAAGGTCAAAATTATCAGCCCCTTTAAACTATATTTTTTTCCTTTAGTCTACAGAACAAACCATCAGTATACAATAACTTGTTTAATTACCCTAACCTGCCTTTAAAGCCTTTAAATGTCACTTTAAGCTGTATAAAATTGTTTTAAAAAATGTCTAGTCAAATATTATTTACAGTCATCATGGCAAAAATAAAATAAATCAGTTATTAGAGTAGAGTTATTAAAACTATTGTGATTAGAAATGTGCTGAAAACAATCTTCTCTCTGTTAAACAGAATTTGGGGGGGAAAAATAAACGGGGGCTAATAATTCAGACTTCAACTGTATGTGTTCTTCCAACCATTTCAAGTATTTTCATGAGAAAGTCGATTTATAATTCGATGCTAACTTTAAAACATTTTTTTTAACACCATGTGACAACAGAGCCACTCCCACCTGCCGGTAGAAACGGGTACTGCTGAACAGCTGACGATTTAACTACCTGACACAAACCCTGCGTTAAGTGGAATGTTCGTGATGTATGTGGTAATTTTCAGTACTAAGATAACAAAATAAATGTTATACAACATACTTTTATTTAAATGCAACATATTCCAAGAGATAAGGGGCTTTTGACAATACATCAGGGGCTTAAGCCCCCAAAGCCCCCCCCTCGCAACGCCACTGAGCACAGGTGTCAAACTTGGTTCCAAAAGGACCGCAGCTTTGCACAGTTAAGTTCCAACCCTAATTAAATACACCTAATCAAACTAATTGAGTCCTTCAGGCTTGTTTGAAACCTACAGGTAAGTGTGTTGGAGCAGGGTTGGAACTAAACTGTGCAGGGCTTCGGCCCTCCAGGAATTGAGTTTGACACCCCTGCCTTAAAGGGTTAAACGAATAACACACAGCACTACTACGATTACAGAAAAGTTTGCGATGTTAAAATTCACTTACCTTTTAATACGTTTTGGTGCGAGTATAACCAGCTATAAAAAATAACAACGACTGAATGTTTTGAATGAGAAGCTGTAATGGAGCTCGGCTGAATGAATTTTGTTGTGGCGCCCTGACAAGGAAGAATGAATGTAGCATAGAAACCATGCTTAATATTTGATGCTTCCGGTGAATTGTCACGCCATTGTCTTTAAAATATTGAAATGTATTTTATCCCAGTATTTTCAATAGAGTTTCTGCACTAGCCTGCTGCCCCTGATGGTGCTTGTGTCTGCATGGTCTTTCATGTCATTTAAACAAAATAAAAGAATGCTTAACTGATTGTATTTTAATTACATAACATCAATGCTGCTCAAAGGAACCTTATGAGATTGAAAATAGTCATAAAAAACTTTTTACAGGAAGTTTATCATTGGCTGTAAAACACTAGCTGTGCATATGTCCCCTTTAACTGATTACAGAATAGGTATTTTTTAAAGATTGGGTGTCTCTGTGCATTGGAACATGTTTTTTTATTTATTATTCCTCTTTAGTTAGTGCTGCATGACTAGAGAAAATGGAAATAATGCCAGTGGCATTATAGGATACCGTCAGGACCCATAAGCATCCATTGGGCTCAATCCCACTGTCTGGTGGGTTAGGGTTATTTTGACAAAATATTTTGTTTCAATCAGTATTAGGCTGTCATTAGTTTTAATAATACAATTTTTTTAAATAATCCTGTAATTGACAGCAGAGAGAGATGTTCATTTTGCTGTTTGGATGTTTCCTGACATGCTTGCTAAGCTTGTCGTTTTGCTTTTAGACCCAATTTATAAGCACCGTTTTCCCAAAATCACTTTATCGGGGTGTTTGTTTTGGTTAGACTATCCTCTTAAATTCCTGGTTTAAAGAATTGCATTATATCCTTTGAAAACTTTTGGCAAAACTTTACAATAAGGATTCATTAGTTAATGTATTTAGTAACAACATTAGTTATTAACGAGCATTAGTAAATAACAAGCATTTTACAATTTATAAAACATTTATTATAGTATTTATTCATAGCTATTTTCTTAATACATAATACATTAACTAATGTTAATGATCATAGCTTTGTTTTTTGTTTATGCATTAGTAGGTACTGAACTATGACTAATAAATGCTGAACAAGTAATGCTCATTGCTTGCTGTTAGTAAGTACATTAGCTAATAGTAATAATAATAATAGTAATACATTTTATTTGTAATTAGGGATGGGCGATAATTTGATAACGATAATTATCATGGTATGTATATTTTTTGATACAATGATAATGATAGTTCGATAAATGTTCGATTAGGATTTACATAGTACAAGTTTACAGCCATACAGTGTTAGTTGCACTTGTAGGAGTAAGAAAAAAATAAGGTAAAAACTGTCACAGTCACAGACATTGTTGACAAGAAACATAACTACTAGTCTGGAGCAACTTAGTTTTTCACAATACGACACAAAACAGAGCAACATGACAGAGCAAACTGCAGACGACTCATGTCATAAAAAGCAGGCAACGCCACAAGCCTGTTTTATCATTTAAAACAATACCACCCTTATGAAGATGCTAATTACTGACCCAAACAAGTGTTGTAAACCAGCGCAACTAACAAGCAGAGTATCTTGCAGGGCCGGATTAACCAACGGGCATTATGGGCAAATTCTGATTTTGGAGTGTCTATTTAGGCTAAGTAGTGCACCTCGTTGGTATAAGCTAGTTATACGATTCCCGCCCATCACCGTTTGATTGACAGAGACAACATAACTAAAGAGCGCAACAGATAGCAGTGTGAGTGGAGTAGCTCATAAAGCGTGTGGCAATATCTTTTGACCCGATCAATCATGAACCCGGTTCGAATCCAGTATCTGATGAACACGTTCTTCTTTTTTCCCCACTACATATCAGATTTTGCCTACTCTTCATCACAAGGAAGACATGTAAGAGTCATTAAGAAGTGTGTGTATTATGGAACAGTAAATGCTGAATTAAGATTGTTCTTTTGTTTATTATTTTATTATTTACATTGTCAGACAGTTAAAACATTTCACAAAATGTGTTAAATCTGCTGCACAAAAGGAAAGGTATGTTGAAAATCCTTTAAAATTGATAGATAGGCAATAAAGATTTGACAATTATCGTGATAATTATCAATATCAACTGTTATGAAAAAAAATATTGTGATAATTTTTTTTTTGCCATATCGCCCAGCCCTATTTGTAATGAACCTTTCTTACACTCCAGGCGCTGCAACAGTATAAAACAATAATAAAACATCATTACTCCATAAAAACAATCACAATGACAACACAATACATAACAACAGTGACAACTATAAAATTATAACTTAAAAGCTTCACTTAAGAGGAGTTTTGAGAGATTTTTTAAAACATTCAAAAGATCTATCATAATAGTAGGGCTTCAATTTCACAGCCTGAGAATGACCTCCCAACCATAGTTTTGGGTTTATTAGAATGTTACACATATTGCAGCGGCTTTCGTCTACTGTCAGTTTTGAAATATTTTATCTTTTTAGACCAGCTGAAGTGCCAATCAATAGAACTTCAGATTTTAAACAGTTTAACTGCAGGTAGTTTTGCTCACACAGGCCTGAACCTCCAGTAAACAAGCAGATAAGGTTGAGAGTTCTGATGTAATATCAAGTTAAATCTGGGTATCATCTGCGTAGGTGTCTGGATCACCAGTGATCTAATCCTTGCAGATCGCTGGAGGGCTACACATCTGTCACTTAACAGGACTATAAATACCAACATACACTTCACACACACACACACACACACACACACACACACACACACACACACACACACACACACACACACACACACACACACACACTTATGGTAGCTTAGCATAGACTGATTGTCTGGACTTTATATTCACTCCACACACACACGTTGCTGAGTCCTGTTGTTCTAACTTTACAAAGCGTTTCTGTGTCTTGTTTTTCTTTGACGTGTTTCCTGACCCTCGCCTTGTGTATTGTTTATGCTGTTAGCCACCTGTACCAATCTCTTCACCTGTGACCCGACTACACTTTTGGATTGCTCTTTATGTTACCGTATGCTTCTGCTTGTGACCATTGCCTGCCTGACTACTATTGTTGAAAAGCCCCTATTTTGCATTATAAAATGTCATATTTTGGTTTTAAGAGTCTCCATCAACAGGCTGATATGCAAGCAGGGTTAAAAAACACTCTCATTGTCTTATAATATGCATATATTTTACCAAATTATCCCAAAAACTCCCATATGTTTCGTTCAGTGATTCATTTGTTCCAAAACCATTCCTTTGTGTGAGGCCAATCTGCGCTGATTGGTCTAATGACCCAGTCTGTTGTGATTGGTTGACTGGGTTCAGCGCGAGTCCACCACGCCTATGAAAGAAGTAGCAGAGAGTATGTGAGAGCCCAATGCAGGAATGCAATAAACCAAGGCAGTAAAACATTAGCATATTACTCTATTTTTAACCACAACCCCAAGTAATAACAGTGACACACATTCAGTATTAATGTGTGCAAAAAGTGGCAAAATTGGACTCTTTTGAAAATTGACTGTGCTGCGCGTGTGGGGAAGAGCTAATTTTAGCCATAGCAAAGACAAATGGCATAGGATCACGAGCTAGAAACGCATTTAAATTTGTAAAGGAAAAAGTATGCATTACATTTTCAACGTGGTTTTGGATTTGATATGTGAATAGCCCATAAAGATTTAACCTTTTTAACTAAAAAGATTTAACAATTTTTATTACACTTGCATGTTATGGTCAAGAGGATGAAAAAACTGGTCTATATGAACTGTAACAGTAACTGACAAAGTCCCTGTCAACATCTGACAAAGTCCCATTTATAATCTCTATATAGTCTCTGCTTTTCCTTTAATAGTAAACGGCCGGCAAATCCCACATTGCAGCGTAGGTTATTGTATCAAAATTCAGAAAAATGACAGGAACAAACACAGCACCAGGTTGGCTATACTGTGGTATTGTTGTGAAAAATGTACTTTAACCTATTATTTCCTGCAGCCGAATCTCCATCTGTCAGTGATCGTCATCTTCGTGTCATGATCAGTCCTGTGATCCCTGCGTTCCACTAGCGTCTAAAGGGAAAGGCATGTTCACATTTTCCCGAAATCGGTACTACATATTTGGTGATGTACCGTGTCGATGTATTCAGCCAAAAGATTCAGACCCAACTCGATTCATTTATTTGACTCTGAATCGACTATTTTGTTAAAAAATCAATAGTTTCAACACAGTGCTCTTTCAGATTTAAACCTCAGCTGGATGATTTCACTCACTTTCGGTTACACACTGCATGGAAAGTGATTTTCAAAAACCCCTAATAGGTGCTTTTTAATAAAGATGTTGCATTCGGATTCTCATCTCTATTGGCGGAACTGTTTGGTTACAATAGTAATAGCCCAATAATTACAATAGTGATATCCCATACTTTTAAATTATCTGCCCAAGAGGCAACATATAAATTGTAAAAAGAGTAGGACCCAATACAGACTCCTGAGGAACACTCTGACACAATGAAACCGTTTTAGACCTGTTTTTGCAGTAGAATAAAACAAACTGAGTAAAAGTTCTGGAAGAAAACATAAAAATTTAAAAATGAAATAAGTTGTGACCCTTTTTAAGTTGAAAAGGTGAAAAAAGGCATGTAAATGCAAACCTTAAGTATGTAGTATTAAAAAAACAAGTGAAGAAAGTCATGAATACTCTGTACATGTGAAATAACTGAGTGTTTTTTTCTTTTCTTTTTCATAGGACAGTGGTTTCAGCTACCTGACTTTCCCAACTACAATAAATGGGGGTATTCGGTTATCTCCCTAAATAACAATGTGTACGTCACAGGTGAGCTTATCTGAAAAAATGTTTTTTTTGCCATGTTTACTGAGGTATTAAAGGGGTGGTCCACTAAAATATCATACAGTATTTTAAACTTTAGTTGTTGTGTAATGTTGCTGTGTGAACAAAAACAACATCTCTAAATGTAATATGCTCGATTCAATGCAAAGGGAGATATTGGCTTTTAAAGAGTTAGCTTAGCAAAACAGAGAAAAATATTTGGGGACTACAAAAAATACATCAGGGTTAATAAGATCATAAAGTCTTCAGGTTATGCGCATTCACCACGTGCATACACCTGTACAGTGAAGGGGTGTGTCCTAGGCACTGTAATGTTATAGCAGAGAAAGCTAAAGGGCTCCATTTTAACGATCTAGGCACAAAGTTCAAAGCGCAGGGTGCATAAGCATTAATGGCGTGTCAGAATCCACTTTTGTTATTTTAAAGATGGGAAAACACACTCTGCGCTGTGGCACATGTTCTAACAGGGTTGATCTTATTCTCTTAATGAGTTATGGATGTTTTAAGCATAAACCAATCATAGTCTCATATCCCATTCCTTTAAGAGTCTGTTTCGTTGCTCCATGGCACATTTGCTATTTACATGATGGATTTTGTAAGTGGAAAAACTGAACACTTCAAAACAGTTTAGAAAACAGTTAAACAGCATCTGCAACAGGAGGATAATGAGCCTCCTCCATTCGGCCTTTACTTTCACTTTTTTGTGGATAAGGAAGTGTGTTGTATGCTCTCCACTGAAGACATGCATTAGCCCACATAATAATTTTGTTTGTTTAGCACAAAGATTTTTTTCAAAACTATTTAAAAATTTAGTTCTAATTTCCAGCAAACACACAAATAAACAATAATAACAAAGAGTGGTCAAACAACTGGGTTATATCCAAAAACAAATATAAATATGTTTCCGATTTTTTTGTGGATCTGATATAATTGGATCCTTTGTTTTTATTGATGTTTACATTTGCATTTAGCAACAACACACAATAAAGGTCAGACTGTCAGAAATCGCACTACAGAAAAACACTTGGACATATGTGAAAACAGAAAAACTTCATGGGACTTAACCAAAGCACATTATTGGCTACACTAAGGTCTTCTCTTTCCAAAAAAAAAAAAAAAATTATTAAAGAAACAATGGCAGGGAAATTAACATAAATATCATGTTGCCATTTGGCAACACCATGCGGTAGAGGGTTCATTTTAATTGTGTTCCAGAGAATTATAAATATTTAGCTAACATTTGAAAAAGGACAACTTCCAGAATCTCTCCCAGTTCAGTGCTGGACTTGGCTAAAAACTCCTCAAAGAAGGAGCAGCTCCAACCATAATAGACGAAGATGTGGATTGCGAGCCACAACCTGTTAGTATTTTCATTTGTTAAAATGTATCTAATACATGTATAGTGTCTAGCGTCTGTGTTATGTTCTAGCAAGGACGTAAACAAGGATGTAAACAACGGGAAATGCTGTTTGGCACCATTGACAATTTAGCTACAAATTCATATTTATCCGTCAAACTGCTGTAAACACCCCAAAATCTTCAGCAATGCTGCTGTGTCTCTCTTTGCAGCCACTTTACCTGCGTTCTAAATCTCAAATAACGAACTCGTAAAATATATGTGAACGCTTCATATTACTTGCACATGCTTACAACCGGAATATATGTGAAAGACACTTGTCAGATTTTATTTTAGAGAACAGACGTTAGGTTCAGCTGTGTCCTTTTCATTTTCTGGACGATTCAGGCTCAAACTGCTGCGGCTAACAGCTACTCTGACTGACAGTATTTACACAGCAGAGGCACATCACGCTATTAGAGATGTGGTTCCGATCCGTGAATACAGCACATTATGTTAGCTGACCAATCAGAGCCTCTTGAGGGCGAGCCTTTCGGAGGAACTAGGAAATATGACAGTTGTTTACATGTAGCTGAATATAATCAAAGTAAGCTATATGAAAAATAACATGATTTTCTACAAATGAAGCATGAGCACACATTGATTTCTCCTCATAAACACAATGTAGTTTTTATGTCTCAAACCATAACATAAGTTCTATTTTTACCATGGAAAAAAAACTAATTCACAGATTTTTAGGGTATTTATAGAGACTTGGCCTTTGAGAGAGGATCAGTGAGATTTATAGTTTTATTAGACACATGAATGGAACGTCATCTCCATTGAGGATTTGGAGATGCTGAGATAAAACAGTCCCCTGTCTTATAGGCAATCCTGCTAAGACCCGCATAAGACCTAAAACCACTTTAGAAATTTGAGCACTACAGGACACAAAAAAGCAAAGTATTAACTTTGTGATGACCTGGAAAAATTGAGCCGTTATTGCCAAATGTAGCCTGGTCACCAACAGGGACAGTTGAACCTTCTAGCTGAGCTGGGAATTTACTCAGATAAATCAGCTAATGCTTCATCTGATGTGAATCCCATTTGACATACTTTGTCTAACTCTCAGGAGGATCAAGAGGCTCTCAGTCCAACACCTGGTCCACCACAGAAACCTGGAAGTACATCACTCGTGAAGGGAAGTGGGTCACAGTCGCACCAATGTTGCGGCCGAGAACTAACCACTCTTCTGCAACTCTCAATGGAGAGATTTATGTAATTGGGGGTGAGAAAACATATTAGTTTCCAACTGGAGATTTCAGACAAATGCTTTCTTGGGTAGACTTGCATTCAGTACTGAAGATGTTTCCATGCATTGTTTTTCATTGACAGGAACTACAACAGATTTCGTTGAACGTTATGACCCATTCAGCAATTGCTGGACTCTGACCAGCCCAGCACTCAAGTATGTGACTAACTTTACAGCCACGCCTTGTGAAGGAAAACTATACCTCATTGGCTCTTGTGCAGTTAAATATAATGCCCTAACCATGCAGTGCTACAACCCTGTCATAGGTAAGAGCAGTTGTGGAATTAAAAAAAAAAAATTCAAGGTGGATGTTATTGGTGGTGGGGATTTGGGGTGGTCCTTTAGCTACACACACAAACAATGATAACAAAATAGGTCTAAATACATTTTTAATTTGACAAAATGTTTTCTTTTTTAAATAACCACCAACCATTAATAATCTTGAGCGTCATTTTTACACAAATCATGAAATTAAAAGGGACAATTGATTTCTTGACAATGCAAGTCTTTCCGATCGCACACAAGTACATGCTCCAAAATAAATAAAGGGAAAGAAAAACATACTGTATAGATGGTCAGTTTAAGATAGGCTATTCCATAAAACGCTTTATAGGCTCGGAGTCTTTTTGCTTATGATCGCCCTTATTGTTCACTTTTAAATGTATAGGTGTTGCATAAAATAATATAGTAGTTTTAATTTGATAAGTAATATTTCTTTGCTGAGTCCTCCTTGATGTTTCGATAACGCATAATAATCTTTACACCACATTTTGCGTGAAACATGCACATTTACATGCAAGCGTGTGTGTGAAAGAGTGAAAGAGCGCTCGCATCACAGCTCTGTTGTGATAACAATAATTGTTTGTTTGTTCAGTTGTCTGGATTTTCATCGTTTCTTGATGATGCAATGGGTTTTTTTTGTTTTTGTCTGATTCCCTCTGACCTGGGTGGGTTGTGTGAAGTTTGATTTGGGGGATATTCTGGGGGCAAGGTTTGCATGACACACTGCGAGCTACTAGCCCGACAATGGAAAACGAGATGATTTTGGCCTCACTGCTCATGCTCCCAGGCTATTGGCATGGCACGGCCCGATAAAAACCCTGGCTCGCACTGGCCTGACAGTGGAAATGCGGCTAGTGATTCTAAACATGCAACACATCATCTGCGTTCTGATTTTAGGGATAATAATGATGGTTCATTTTAGAAACAGACCTAGAATCTGCTGTAACTTAGATATTAACGGTGAAACTTGGGTTTAAAGTAAACGTTAGCAAGCCCTGTTAACTGTCTAACGGAGAACATAGAACAGCTTAAGTTACACTCTGATCTAGCTGCCTAAACTGTTCTGAAATGCAGTTATGCATGGCAGGTACAGCATACATATATATTATCAAACAACTTAAAATCATACCTTCTGTTCTCTTCTTTTTAGAATGCAAAAAGTTGCGTCTGAACTGCTCTCCACACACTGTACTGCGCTTGTGTGTGGCTCCTTATTACAATACTGAGTTCTGATTGGTCAATCGTCATTGTTTAGAAGTCATAAATGACCATATATAGAGAAGTTAAATAGTTAATGATAATTTTTGCATTACATACACTGTTGTTAATTTAAAGGGGATGGTGGTTTAACAAATGGGATGATTTGTGTTTTTAGTTTTTCTTTCCATAAAGGGGATAACATCCTCCCTCAAATCAAGCACTGGGTAAGAGATAAGACATGGCCATGTGGTTTGGATGCATTTAAAGTTTATTAATAGAAAAGTATTAATAAAAAATAAACCTTGTGTGTTATAACAGACACTCTAACTTATTTAGTAATTCAGAACTATTTAATGAAACACGTTTTACAAGACTCTGATTAAATTATAATGTTATTCGCTAATGGAGGCCTGCCAACATCTAGCGGTTGATTCTGTGTTTTTTGAGTACACTTTTGTAAATGTATTCTCTTCTTCAACAGATAGCTGGTGTATCATCGGCTCTCCATTCATTCCTAAGTATCTCTCTTCTCCCTGCTCTGTCTCTATGGATGGAGTCATTTACCTAATTGGAGATAACACTAAGAAGGTTTATTCATATGATCCAGACAGCAATGTGTGGGAAAAGGTGAGTTCTAGATCATGCAAAAATAATGAATAAAGTTGAACTTGTTCTGACTCCTGGGGTCCGTCCTTCATACCTCGCTTAAATGGTCTAGGATAATTTTACTAGAAATTTTAATTTTGATAACTGATCTCTGGCTAATTTGGTTCTTCAAACAAGTTCGCAAATCAGATTAAAATATCTGGATAAACTGATCTGGGATAGCTGCGTGTGTTGTGAAGGACAGATATATCGATCCTTGAAATCATGATTTTTTTTTAATTATTATTTTTCCAAGTCTATATAACTACTACTGTAAGAAAATATCAGCATTTGGTACAAACTTTTAATGTTACCTTAGCTTGAAAAGACCTCATCTAATTCTGTTTATATGAAATAAGCCTGCTCCTGAGCAGGTTTAAGCTACCAGACCGTTGCTACTGTATGTCAACAACTCTCGGATGAGTTTTGAAGAACTAAACAATCCTGGATTGTGTCAAATCGTCAATAACCAAATCTAGCTAATTGAGTACTCCATGTGCGAAGAACGGACCCCTGTATGTTTGTCAATTTTTATTTATTTATTTTTTATTTTTTTCATTCCCAGATTCAGTTTCTAAACATGCTTCATGAGAATGGCGATTTGGTTGTTCTTGGAAGGTACTTGTTTGTGACTGGGGGGCATTGGAAGGGCATGGAAGGGGATTATGGGGTTGAGGTGGAAATGTACAACCGAGCCTCCAACACGTGGAAGGTGGAGTGCTTCCTTCCAAGGCTCTGGACATACAGTGGCTGTTGTTCTGTTTTCTTGGACACTTCTCAGTGGACTGAAATATTCCCTGATGAGACCTAGAGTCCTTCCTTTGAAGGCTGATTTATACTTTCGCCTGGCACCGCGTCGTGGACCTCCGCTGACTGCACGTGCACCTCATGAAACAAACGAGGCTTTTATACTTGATGCGTTCGCCATTGTAATTACATTTAAAATGACAGTGGCCGGTCAATTAAAACCCACCGTAAAACCAGACAAATGAACATAAAAAAGGACTACGTCATGTCATTATTATCGTTCATGATTTTTAAACTAATATTGTTTATAATATTTTTTAATGGTTATGAAGATTTTTATAACGATTCAAATTTTTAAAAATCAAACTTGCATCCCTTGCTTTTGTGGATATCTCAGACAGTTCTAGCTATTATAGTTTATTCAAATATTAATGACAAAAGAACAAAATAAATCAATTAAGTTAACATAACACTTTTATCAAGTTTATGTTGACTGATCATTCAAAATGTATGTTGTCCAAGTGAAATCTTAAGAATAGTGTTGTTTCAGCTCAAATTAAGTAGTTTAAACAAGCAAAAAAATAAATAAATAGGGCATCATTGTATTGTAATTGCTCCGGTTACTAAAATAACCCTCGTTCTCCGGGGGAGGGAATGAAAATGCTATGTGTAAACTTACACTATGGGGATTTCGTCAGAATCCAATCATCTGAAAGGGTATACGAAGTGCCAATAAAATGCAAATGAGTTGGCAGCTTAAGCATGCACAGCTGGCGCTACTTAACATCAATTTGGAATAAAAGCGCAGCGCGTACCAAGCTGAGGTATCCTTTTCTAGCTGAAGAGATTTTCACCCTCAACAGCTAAGGGGTAATCATTGTGATGAAGGAACATAGCATTTCTGTTCCCCCCTCGGGTAACGAGGGTTATTTTAGTAACTAAAGCGTTCCCTCTTGGGAGGAGAACTTCAAAGCTATGTGTAAACTTCCACTATGGGGAAATGTTTTCAATAGAAAACGCCATAATGTTTGAACCTTACCTTGCCCCCAATGAGAGGTTATGCCATGCCAAGAGCGTGAGTGCACTTGCATCACCAGAGGTGCGGTCTTCCAACATGATTCCTGGCCCTTACTTATTTCACTTCAACAGAAGTTTTACAGATTTAGATATATTTTTCAGGAGTTGTAATGCATCTAGTTAATTTCTAGGAATTTTAATACGACAGTATGTTATGTTATCAGTATCAGGAAAGCGTGCTGTCCCGATAGGGGGGACGCTGCGGAGGCCACCTGCTGCCCAAGTGGGGAGACCTGGTGGCAAGAAGACATATAGACTAGCCCTGAGAAGGGGGAGTACACATATAAAAAAAGAGATGGTTAGCGGGGAGGGATGACACGGGTCCACCTGGGAGAGGGGACTGCACTGTGGCTGAGTAAGTGATATGTGATTGCTGATAAAGACCGTCCTCCCACAAGTCTTAAGCCACTGCCAAATTGCATCAATCCTGCGAGCTTTTAGGCATCATGTCCCAGACTGGCAGTGTTAGCGCTGTCACATCCCGGGAAGGGGAAAAATTTTCAATTGAGAATTTGGTGGCATTGAAAAACGCCATGGCCCTCCACCGGGGAAAAAACAAGTTCCCTTTTCTCCAGATGGCCCGTCTTTGGGACGCTTCGAGGTCCGTTTACCGGACTTAACGGTGCCTTGGCGGGAGGGGCTACCTGCTTACGAGGTGCTTAACGCGACCACTTGGCCGAAAGTTTAGGTAAAGATGGGGCAGCTCTCGTAGTCAGGTGCCCTCGGCAAGAAGCAGTGGATATGGATGGCTCTGCTGGTGGAGCGATCTTACCTTCCCACCGATAGATGACATTGCCCATCGAGTCCAACTGCTCTTTTACTGCTCTGACTTCCTGGGTAAATTCACCAACTGTGTCGTCGAACAGGCCAGCCTGGTATATGGGCAAGTCAAGAAGGTGGACTTTGTCAACCTTGCACATATCTGCCATATGTGGCCATCATCCTCCCCAGCGCACAGGCAGTGGACTTAGTGGTTCAAAGAGCATAGTCGGTTGTGCTGCAAAGCTTGTGTAACAAGCCTGGGTCGGAACCACCCTTGTGCAGCTGGCCAGTGCCTGCACTTGGAGGTGCTGGTACTGTAGGTGGCCATAGCATGCAGGGTGGAGGCAGCCTGGCCTGCGGTTCTTTAGGCTTTGGCTCCGGGGGAGACAGATAACCTGCAGGCTTAGGAAGGGAGACAAGGTTAACCCTGCCTGGAAGAGGCAACACGCGGACAAAGATTGACCGCAATGGCACGCTCGATCTGTGGGATCGTCTCGTAGCCCCTGGCTGCTTCACCGTCAAGGGTGGTGAGGGCAGAAGCGCATGCAGATCGGGCCGAGAAAGGTGCCCTTGAAGACTGCTTGAGTCTACTGGGAACCTACGGTAAGAAGGGGATGGGAGGCCTGGCCTTCTTGGTATCCTCCACGTAGCACCCTGCGAGCGAGCACCACATTAACATGCTGGACTCCCAGACATGAAACACAATGCTCGTGCCCATCATCCAGGGACAGGAAATCACCGCATCCAGAAACGCACAGTCTGAGCGACATCTTGAAAAAGATGCACTGCACAACTGTGGTGCTCTTTTAGGAAATTTGCAACAATACATACCGCTCTGGAGGACGGGACTCAAAGAACGCCAGGCAAGGAAGAAACCCAGCTGGACCGTCAGCCACCGCGTATAACACACTCTGGACTGGGAGACCGCTCTCTCTCTCTCTCTCTCTCTCTCTCTCTAATTGGCATTTCCTTGGCCCGTTTCAGATGATTGGATTCTGACGAAATCCCCAAAGTGGAAGTTTCCACATGGCCTTGAAGTTTCCCTCCTGAAGGGGAACTAAGGGTTTCTTTAAACTTGTTAACAAAAACTTTCCTTCTTTTCTACGGCTGTCGAAATTTCTAGCTAAGAATTATTATTCATCTGGTTATCCCTATGATTGCGCATGGACAGATCATATAGATGTCTATACAGGTGTACCAGATTCAGACAATATCTCTTTAAAGTGATAAAAAAGAATATTAAAATCAAATGTGGTGCATCGTGAACTGTTCGCTTGAGTCAAAAATTCCGCCAGGCGAAATCATGTTGCACGCCCTTAAAGCAAACCCAACACATCAATGACGTCACAGTCACCACACATACTCAAGCGATCTAGCAAACACGTCCAGTATAAATCAGCCTAAAGCCCTTCACTAAGGATAGTCATGATAACAATTGAGAAAACATCAATGTGACAAAACACGTGTGTGCAAATTCTCACAACACAAAATAGAGAAGCATGCTGCAAGTTAAGGAAGAACATTCAAATTCTCTCAATACATGCTAAAAGGGAAAAATGCAAATAGTGCAGACCACAATGGAAATGTGTCAGCGACAAACATGATTGGTTTCTGTTTAGAGATCACTGTTTATTTAATGTTAATTGTACAATTTGTCAGATTATTAATGTTACAAATATGCACATTCAAGCTTTCTCAACACATGCTAATAGAGAAACTTGCTCCAAATAGCGCAGACCACAACGGGAATGTGTCAGGGGATTTTGAATTTGACAAACACGACTGCTTCCTTTTTAGAGTTGTTAATAAAACACAATTCATTCAAAGACTGAACCCAACAATCCAACAACTATTAAAAAAATTGGCAAGTGACATAAGCGATGTATTTAAGTGCTGAACTAAACATGCTTACTGTATACAAATCTTTTCTTGTTTAGAACTTCGAAAAGCTAATCAAATGTTTAGAGCAGGGGTCTCAAACTTAAATTGGTGGAGGACCATTACAGTGACTGACAACTCATAGGAGGGCTGTTTTAACATTCAAGCACAAGAAAAAAGTGATGTAACTGGTGCATATTAAGACAACAGACATGATGTTTATAATTTTAGCATTTTATGTCACAAATTAAAAAATTAGCATGTTTGCTTCACAACTGCTGGAATATATCAGTGACTGATTAAATAAGCATTTTTACATTTGAATATTCATAATAATAATGCTAATAATTATTTTTATTCTGTCCCAATCAATTGTTGCTTTACCAAATGTTTAGTGTAAGAACAGCAGAATGGAATTTGGGTAACTTCACTTACCTTACTGGCAATTGTTCTTCTCAATATCTTTCTTTTTTTTTTTTTTTTGTAAAAAAAAAACAACGAAGGGAAAAGTAAGTATTTATCACACTTACTTTAACATGTTTAATTCAATCAGCAGTAAAATGCACATAGTTGTCAAATAAATCTCAATACGCATTTGAGGAAAATCTAGTAAATGAGACCATTTGAATCAAATAGTAGCAAAGTTAGCAAATTTGTTACACCACCGGCATAACGTGTTAGCCATGAAACAGTGTTTGTTCAACAAAATACAGGTGGTGTAAAACTAATAATAATCAAATGACTCTTGAATATTTACAAAGATAGTGCTTTAGTAAAAATAGAGCATGTATGCACATTTATTTTAACGTTTAAATCAGCCCCAAAAATAGTTTGCATGTGCATTACTCACGACCGCATGCTCAGAAAAACCAACAGTCATACAGTATAATAGAGTGCAGTACTTTAACCATCCAATCAAATCTTGTTATATTTTTGACGCTGTAAATGGCCCGCAGACCGGGAGTTTGAGACCCCTGGTGTAGAGGCTTCAGAACCGAGCCAGGAATTTCTCAGACAGAAAACACATTTCAGATATACTCATTAGAAAATATCAGTATATGAGATATACTTTAATGTTCTGCCTTTTTTTAGCGTCACATACTGACATCATGACATTATGGTTCATCTTCAGTTTGTGTTGCATTCAAATTTTAATCACTTGATGCACTTGAAGTTTCTGATTTTTATTAAACCAAACCTGTCAACTGTGAACACGAATTAAAGGAAGAGCAGAGTCCACCCCAGAGTACTAAGTATTTTAACTGGCAAACAAGTGCTGTATGGTTACAAAAAGAATTATGTAGCCACTTTAAAGGTATTTTCTTATCATGTTTGAAGTGAGTTATTTCTTTGGTCAAAAGAAAATAAGAGCACTTTTCTCAACCTAAACTTTAGAAAAATGAAAATTCTGTAATCAGATTAACAATCATAATGTGAAATGACTTGCTCTGAATATAAAATGTTTTTTAGTTGTATTTGTATATTGACTTTTGTGCATCTGCTTTTTTTCTGCCTAGTTCAAGTTGTCTTTGCTTTTATGTTGCCAATAAGACTCTTTTATTTAAATGGCATTTAGTTTGACACCTAAATAAATATACACTCACTGGCCACTTTATTAGGTACACCTTACTAGTACCGGGTTGGACCCACTTTTGCCATCAGAACTGCCTAAATCCGTCGTGGCATAAATTCAACAAGGTACTGGAAACATCCCTCAGAGATTCTGGTCTATATTGACATGATAGCATCATGCAGTTGCTGCAGATTTGTCGACTGCACATCCATGATGCAAATCTTCCATTCCACCATCCAAAAGGTGCTCTATTGGATTGAGATCTGGTGACTGTGGAGGTCATTTGAGTACAGTGAGTACATTGTCATGTTCAGAAACCAGTCTGAGGTGATTTGTGGTTTATGACATGGAGCGTTATCCTGCTGAAAGTACTAGCCATTAGAAGATGGGTCCACATTGGTCATAAAGGGATGGAAATAGTCAGCAACAATACACAGGTATGCTGTTGTGTTGAAACGATGCTCAATTGGTACTCATGGACTAAAAGTGTGTCAAGAAAATATCCCTCACACCATTACACCACCATCACAAGCCTGAACCATTGATACAAGGCAGGATGGATCCATGCTTTCATGTTGTTGACACCAAACTCTGACGTGACCATCCGAATGTCGCAGCAGAACTCGAGACTCATCAGACCAGGCAACATTTTCCCAATCTTTTATTGTCCAATTTTTGTGAGCTTGCACGAATTGTAGCCTCAGAGGCACCCGGTGGGGTCTTCTGCTGCCGTAGCCCATCTGCCTTAAGGTTAGATGTGTTGTGCGTTCGGAAATGCTCTTCTGCATATTTCGGTTGTAACGAGTGGTTATTTGAGTTACTTTTGCCTTTCTATCAGCTCAAACCAGTCTGGCTATTCTTCTCTGACCTCTGGCATCAACAATTTGCACCTACAGAACTGCCCCTCACTGGACATTTTCTCTTTTTCAAACCATTCTCTGTAAACCCTAGAAATGGTTGTGCGTGAAAATCCCAGCAGATCAGACCAGCCCGTCTGGCACCATCAACCATGCCACATTTAAGTCACTTAAATCACCTTTCTTCCCCATTCTGATGCTGACCATGTCTACATGCCTAAATGCATTGAATTGCTGCCATGTGATTGGCTGATTAAATTGTTTTTATTAGTGAGCAGTTGGGCAGATGTACCTAATAAAGTGGCCGGTGAGCATATTTGAATAGAAATAAAGTAATTGTTTACCAATACCGGCTAAATCACATTCTGTTTATAGTTTACTCTATTAATCCCAATGCCCAATATTATTAATAAAATATTCATTTATTGTTCCTTTTTCTGAACATTTAATTAGATACATTTTGATGATTGTATATTGTAGCAATATATGTTCATGTTATCTAATGTTTTATCCAAGTGTTAAATGTTTTGACAATCCTTTTACAAATCCTTACAGTTCAAAACTCTGGTAGTAGTCATGAACTTAAATGTATTTTTAGGAAAGTGCCAACAATGACTGGAATAACCAGTGTTGTATTTGTTCAAGCATGACTTGCCGCGTCTGTAACTATGGAGGTTGAAAAGCTTGCGCTTTAATTCTCATGGCAACTCGCGGGAGCGTCCGGTTTCCATGGCAACCACAGGAACCCACATAAGAGCTGTGATTGCAACTTTTGCACTTGTGGCTCACTCCTGGTGAATATTTCGCGATCATTTACTTATATGCGTTATTAAAGCATTGCTATTTTGTGCAAAGCACCGTGCAACCTTTTCCTAGAGTTAAACTTCTAAAGCAGTTCAACTTTATTACTTTGCATAGCACCTTGCTGACCCCTCCTCAAGCGTTTAATACACTAAAAAGTCTGAGGACAACTGGAAAAACTCGCCGTTCGTTTACTGAAGTGCACTGGATCCCGACCAGTTTCCAGATGAGCTGCGACGAGGATCAAGGACTGGAAGCCGTGATTCAGGTGCGTGTTTTCCAGTAGGAAAACTGATCTTCACCAGCTGTAACTTAAATAGGTTATTGCACTGTTACCCTTTCAAAACAGCATGTGTGAATGAAAGAGGAGAGAGCTTGATTTAATATTAACGAGCCTTGCAATGTTTCAACAAATTAAGGTCGATCAGGAGGTCAGTTTCAGGTTCTTCTGTGAAACTTGAAGACAGGCGACTCATTTCCTTCTGCTGTTTGTGACATCCTGCGAAACCGAAACAGAGACAGACGTGAGCAGCTAGTTACTATAAATAATACATACTAAATTAATTAATACGCACTGTTTTTGACTAAGGTAATGCACTACATGTTGATTAACTGAAATGTTTAATTTTAATTAGAAATATATTGATTAAAGAATGACAATAAATAATTTTTAAAATTGTGCACGTTTTCTTATTTGAAAAAGGAGACATTTAATTTAATATGAAATGCAAATATATCAATATAATTTTATGTAGAGAAGGTTTGCGGTATCCTATTCAGAACCTACTGTAAAAAATTTTAATGAAAAAAAAGTAAATTGACAATTCTTTTAGAATAACTTGTTGTTTATAATCAGGCAAATGCTGAAAAACACATCCCTCTGTAAAAACCTTCATACAGCATATACCTCTGTGTGAATAAAAAGGTCTGGTGTAAGTCAGAGATGCCCAAACTAAGGTCCGCAGGCCAAAGTTGGCCCATGGTAACCTTTGATTTGGCCCGCCATTGCATCTGAGAAGAGAGGGAGAATGATGAAGATGGTTTTGAGATTGTCAATTCAAATTTAATATAACTCTTTGTTGTTTTATTGTTAAAAGCTAACTGTAATTAAATGTTTCAATTAAATGGTGTATGAAAATGTGTTGACTATTTGGCATTGAACTCGTTCACTGTGTTATAAATGTGATTTGTTTATGTTTTTTATTACAATAAGTTATCATTTAAAAAAGTGATACTGCATTACTTAATCTGATTTAAAGTAAAGTTTTCTATTTATTTCGAAACATATTTTGAAAAAAACTAGGGCATTATCTTTGGCAACTGTAATGTAAAATAATTTGGTATATTTATCTTTGGCCCACGGCTCTCAATGATATTTGGTTTTTGGCTCTTCATACAAAAAAAGTTGATCTAAGTGCTGCTGAAATAGGGGATTTATGGCTCAGTGTAAAAGAAAAAAAAAACTATTTTTGAGAAAACTGCCTTTACAAATATGTAGGCTATTGCAATTTAAATTTACAGACACAATTTGATGAAGTACAAGTAATTGGGTCTGGTATGTTTACTTTAAATCACACAGAAAAAAAATATGTTCAATTTCAAAGGTGCATAAAAAACCTGGTTTGTGTTTGTGTCTAGCTTTAAAGCACAGATGTCAAACTCAGTTCCAAAAGGGCCGCAGCTCAGCACAGTTTAGTTCCAACCCTAATTAAACACACCTGATCAAACTAATTGAGTCCTTCAGGCTTGTTTGAAACCTACAGGTAAGTGTGTTGGAGCAGGGTTGGAACTAAACTGTGCAGGGCTTCGGCCCTCCAGGAATTGAGTTTGTCACCCCTGCTTTAAAGAAACACTCCACTTAAAAAAAAGGTTCATTTTACTGTTGACTTTCACAATTTTTTAATCCACTCTGCGAAACTCCAGGTCTGGTAGGAACATTTTTAGCTTAGCATAGATCATTGGATTGGATTAGATCATTAGCGCTGTGTCAAACTGTCCGCAGCACTACATAGTTTAGCTTTATCCCTAATTTAACACACCTGTTCAAACTAATTGTTTCAGGCTTGTTTGAAATCTACAGGTAAGTGTGTTTAAGCAGGTTGTGCTCCCTCAGTAACTGAATTTGACACCCCTGCAGAGTTATAAACATTTTCATATTTAAAGCTTGAGTCTTCAGTTGTTAGCTTGTGTACAAAGACTGACTATTTTCTTGGCCAATGTGGCTAGGAACTATACTCTCATTCTAGCCTAATAATCAAGGAATTTTGCTGCTGTATAATGGCTGCAGCAGGCGCAGTCATATTTTTCAGCTTCATTACAATTAAAATAGAAAAATTATTGAAACTCATTGGTTAATTTCGAGTGAGACACCAATGATCTAATCTAATTCAATGGACAATGCTAAACTAAGTTAAAAGTGTCCCGCCAGACCCGGAGAATAGCTGAATGGACTCAAACTCAACTGTTTACTCAACTGTTCACCAGCCTGGTGAAAGCGGTGGTTCTTTTTCTTAAAATATGGACATTTTTGCAGTTATTAGCCTTATTTTCTATTTAATTATGAGCTTTAAATACTTTTAGCACAATTTTTTGCTGGATTAGCTTGTCGGATGGTTATCAACCACCCTTTTTGATGTACCTAAAACATTGTATAAAGATTTTGAAGAAGAAAAATATGAGAATAATTCTTTATTTTTAAATACAAACTTATTGCATCATATTTCATTAGAAAAAAAGAATACTGTTAAAGTTTTCAATTAAAAAACAGGCCATTGTCTTTTTTTAGGCAAATGCAAACTGGGCCAGCACATTCAACTGTCCTCAAGTCATGCTGAAGCAACAGCACAAAGGATTCCGCTTGGTCTTAAAGCCTTCTTCGATGGTTATTTTCACATTTAATTATGGCATACCAGTCAAAATAGGAAAAATTAGGTTGTATATGGGACAAATTTTGGACCTTTATCAGCGAGGGGTGGGTTTTTCGAACCATCCGAACCCCCCTGGCTATTGGCCTGGTTTAACTCTGGGAAAGTTATAATGTGAGCCTATTTTCAAAAAGTAAAGTGTTCCTTTAAACATAAAAGCTTTAAATAAAGTTTTTAGAACCGTGTTTAGTCACCTGATTGCAATGTGTTTGTTTCTCTCCTTACACTAATGAATGATAATAATGCAGAAGCTGGAGGAGTCACTGCTTAACCCAGATAGCAGTGCTGAGGAGAAGACCTACACCGTGAGGGGCGATGAGGAGGAGTGCAACACCACACCAGTTCCTGCCCGCATCCGCGAGATCATCACCAGAAACCTGGCTGATGTGCCCACAGGTACTCATTAGTGAAAGTTCTGCTTGGGTATCAGTGTATTATTAAAACTCATGTATATTCAATCATCTCCATGCTTCTCTATTGATGAATCAGGCGAGGGCAGTGAGCTGGAGGAGAACCGGCTGCTGAAGGATCTGCCTACTCAAATGTCTGCAGACAGAGAGCAGCTGCTCAGCAGGCAGGCTGCGATCACTAGTCGGGTAGGAGCGTATGCACAAACTTCACACACATGCCCTTGGGTCTCTGAAAATCTGACTGATAAGCCATTTATGTATAGATAAGTGTACAATTAATCACATGATGATGATTCACTGTTATAATGGATTGCATAAGCCCATTTTAAACAGCCTTCCAGTATAAATGCAAACGATTTCCATATTGCAGCATTTGTTTAATCCCAGTCTTCGCGTCCCACCACGCTACACATTTCATATGTTTTTCTTTTCCCGTCAGACGTTTCTTTTTAATTTTAAAATAAGTGCCCTGCAAAGTAGAATCCACAGGGTATTCCGCCATGATTTCATGTATCATTCATCAATCATTCATTTTCCTTCAGCTTAGTCAGTGACTCCTTGATTTATCAGGAGTTTCAACAACGGAATGAACCACCAACTACTCTGTCTTAGGTTTTACGTAGCGGATACCTTTTGAGCCGCAACCCAGTACTGGCAAACACCCTGACAATCTCACATTCACACATGCGCTCATATACTACAGCCAACTTGGTTCATTCAATTCCCCTATAGCGCATGTTTTTGGATTGTTGGGGAGACCGGAGCACCCAGAGGACACCTATGCCAACACAGGGAGAGTATGCAAACTCCAATCAGAAATGCCAACTGGCCCAGCCGGGACTCGAACCAATGACCTTATTCCTGTGAGGCAACTGTGCTAACCACTGAGCCACCGTTCCACCTGCTGTTTCATTCAAAAGACATTTCAGTGTGTGATATGTGAATTTAAATTATTTTGATTTAAGGAGGTATATTGTGTCCCACTTCACACTTCTCTAGTGAGGTACATTTGTGTATGAATGTGAAATGAAGGTTTCTTGTACGATAGATGACACTGAAGGAGAATTGACTAGGAAGCAATGCAAACTGTAGGAACGTGTCAGTCAAAACACAGGTCATGGATAGAGCTCTTCTAACAAGTTGCTCATCAGAATCATGTGTGATAAATTAGAAAAACATGCAAAATATGATTGGTGGGGGGTGAGGACCAGGATTGAGAAACATTGCCCTAATGTATCGACAAGTATGCAGCCATTTCTGGTTATTTTAGCTGTACATAGTTTTTTATTTTTATTTTAGTTAGCTTTGATTTATGTTATTAACACTGGTTCATAATGCAATTAGTTTTGGCGTTTACTGCACTACTTCTCAAGTTATTTGCATTCTGAACACAATATTTTATATTCAGCTCTATTTTATCCAACATGGAATTACATGTTGCATTTGTGTATCACTGTAGTATAGTTTATTCTGAATTATTTTCTGATTTTAAATCAGTTTTTACACAATGTTTCAATGCTTTAACGCAATGCCCCTCTCCCCTGTTTTAACTTTTCAACTTTTCCTTTCATTCTTATCAACAGTAGCCAGACATCACAGATTTGGACAAAACCTTTGTTGTGGTTTCTCAATGCTAATGAAAAACAATTGCAGTTGTATACCATTTCCATTAACCAATTTTCATTTATTTATTCATATTCTTTTTGGCTTAGTCCTTTTATTAATATGGGGTCACCACAGCGGAATAAATGTGAACCAAATTTATTTATTTATTTTTTTGCAATAAGTCATTCAAAAAATAGTTGAGAGTACATTTGTAGGTGTATGCATTTCAAAGCCATCCGTTTATTCAGAGAAGAAGATGTGTTATCCAGGCATTAATGGCAAGGAATCCCTTGATACTTTGGAGATATATGTATAAGCCATATCACACTTATAGCAGTGCGATATGGCTGTATATCAGCACTGGTGGGAGACGTGCATTGACACGAGGCCACATGTGTCTCACCAGTGATGATAAACTGCTACGACTCGAGTGTGATATGGCTTATACATACATGTTCAAAGTATCAAGGGATTTCCTTGCCACTAATGCCTGAATAACACATTTACAACAGTTTATATACACAGGCATAATTGTGTATGTAAAAAAGAAAATCAAACACAGAGGGTTTAAAAATACATTTATATGAGGAACTACTTTCTTCCGCTATTCATCCATACCTGCAGCGGACGTCAGAACAGCAGAAACCATTGCTACTTTACTAACATTACGTTGAAGCTAGTATTTGAATGATTCTTTAGCGTAATGTCTAAAGTAATGACATAACAGGTGATTTTGCTGACATTTTAAGATTATAAAGCTGAACGGAAATGCTATCAATCTACAAAAATTTCCAGGTTTTCTCTGTTGCAATTGGGAAATCACTGTAATGAACAGCGAAAAAGCCAAAGCAAACGTTATCAGATACTATGGTATAAATACAGCACTACAACATACAAAAGAGAGAGATGGACTTAGTGTCACTTACCTGTTTTATAATGATTTGATCAGCTGTAGTTTGAAAAATTACTGGTTTTTCTCTTCTAGTTTGAAATTTGAGTTTTTCTCCTCTAAGGACTTATTATGCGGTCACTGTTGCCATCTTGTGGTGAATCGTCAACTGTCTTTGCTCTGCAATTATGCAGTTTATTTATAACAGTACACTGGCATTCATCCAGCAATCTAAACAACTACATTCTCACCTAAAAAATACATCATGTTGTCCAACAGATGAAATAATTATCATACTGTAGTGCGTTTATTGACAGTTTATTGCTGTAACTCTATGTGGGCAAAGTAATACAGAAGGGTGCGGAGGCTGTACCAGTGCTGCTATTGCAGAATATTGAACGATTGTCAGCCAGTCAGATTCGAGAACCAGACAGAACTGTTGTGTATATATATATATATATATATATATATATATATATATATATATATATATATATATAGTTGAAGTCAGAATTATTAGCCCCCTTTTGATTTTTATGTTTTTTTTTAAATATTTCCCAAATGATTTTTAAAAGAGCAATGAAATTTTCACAGTATGTCTGATAATATTTTTTTCTTCTGGAGAAAGTCTTATTTGTTTTATTTCGGCTAGAATAAAAGCAGTTATTCATTTTTTAAAAAACATTTTTGGGACAAAATTATAAGTCCCTTTGAGCTAATTTTTTCCGATAATCTACAGAACAAACCATCGTTATACAATAACTTGACTAATTACTCTAACCTGCCTAATTCACCTTATTAACCTAGTTAAGCCTTTTAATGTTACTTTAAGCTGGATAGAAGTGTCTTGAAAAATACCTAGTAAAATATTATCTACTGTCATCATGAAAAAGAAATAAGATATATAGAATAAGAAATTAGAATTAGAAATAAGTTTTTAAAACTATTATGCTTAGAAATGTGCTGAGACAATCTTCCCAGAACAGAAATTAGGGAAAAAAATAAACAGGGGCGCTAATAATTCAGGGGGGCTAATAATTCTGACTTCAACTGTATATATATACAGTATATATATTTCCCCTGCACATTTGTGAATTGTTTTTTTTTTTTTTTTTTTTTTAATTGCTTAAACTCATCCATATTTAAATTTACATAATTTGAAGAGCAAATGAAACACTTTATTGTTATACTTCTAATGCTGGGAAGTGCAGAGTTTATGTCAAATGGAGGAAAACAAATGGAAATACCTATTCATGTTTCAGTAAACAACAGATAAATGTTTGATTAATACAACATAAATGTATGTTACATAATATAGACAAAATTTCTCTTATAAGTGTAATAACCCACACATCTTCAGTACTGCTTTAAATATTTTTATTTTACTAGAAAAAAATCATTTCTTTTTAATGGCTAAGAGGTGAGGGGAACAACACCATCTTTTTAAGTCCAGCTTTTATTTTGTATTATCAGAGCAATTCCAGTGTTATGGATATGACATTTGCCGTAAAAAATCAAAACATCAATTCATATAGAAAGTATATGTTAACATTATATTGCAACATCTGTTTATATTTTCTGAAACAACTAACCACAGAGTTAAAGGATCAGAAAAATATCAGTCTGCAAACATTTTTATTTTTAAATGAGAAAACTAAACATGCGTTATGGACGTGACCAAAAAAAGTCTGTGAGTTTATAGTCTACAACATACTTTGTAGAAATTCTATGAATTAAAATGCACAAGCCAAAGAAAGAATTCTAATCAAAAGAATAAGAGTGGACTCTCTATAGGCCTAAAACGATTGACCTGATTTTAAATTACGTTTTTGCATTTATGAGGAAAAGGCTTTGTTATGGATGGGGAACCTTTGTGTTATGGATGTGACAGATGTGAAATTGGCACTTGTATGACTTTGGTAAATCAAATATAACTCTTCGAAAACACTGACAGAGACATTTTGAATATTTTTTAAAGTACTTTAAAATACTTGCTTACACAAAAACTATTTTATTCGCTATCTTGGAGAAAACTTTTTACATGGCAAGGTTGACATTTTGCATGGAATTGTGAATCAATGCATTCATAGTCCAACCTGTACGTCGCTGATCATTTACAGTTTAATGGAGGTTACTCCATTAAGTGTCAAGGCGGAAAGGAAAAGGTAGATGGTGGCCAATAAATCAGATATCTCCTACATTCATGGAAATAGCTCACTTGCATGTTGAAAAATAAGTTGGATAACACTGTATTCTATGATCTCATAACATACATTATCCACGGTTTCTCTCTTTTCCCAGTCCTCCCTTGTCTATCAATCTTGTTAACCCACCCAAACGCATTCCCAAAGGTGCATCAGAAATCGAACCCAAAACATGGGAATATGATCTTGTCCTCTGGCAGTATGGTTAATATCTCTAACACACTGCGCGTAATAAAAAACATAAGCCTCCATCTGGTGTATGGAGCATATGATTGATGCAAAGCTTCTGAGATGTGCACATTTGCCTCCTTGCTTGAAAGTCAAAACATGCCAATGTAATGTGGATTATTGCCTTCAAACTCTCCCTAGGCTTTGTATAATGGACACTGAGGGATTGTCGATCAGTAACCTGGTGGCAGAGGTTTCATGCACTCTGAACTAATGCAGTCTCGGTCCAGGAAAAGATTTTAAGTGAGTGTTTCCCTCTG